CCTGCCCATTTGCTTTTTAAATCATGAATGAAATCATCATCGCCACTAGCACCCCCCTCATCACACTCCACCCACTCATCCTCAGCCCTTCACTCGGCTTCACCTCTCCTGCTTCATCCCCCTCTCCTGTCGTGCACTTCGTAGGCTTACACCGCCTCGTCGAGGTGAGTGTTATTCTCGATGTGACTGTGGATGTAGTCGTAGAAGTGCTGGTATGGGTCGACGTCTTTGTGACCCATGTGTCTGTCGTTTGCAGAGACTGGCAGTCTGTTGCTTTTGGATCTGTAACGGTTGTGGTGGTGGTGGTGGTGGTCGTAGTTGTGGTTGTTATGTTTTTAGTTGTTGCCTCATATGGTTTGACTTTTAGTGGCTTTAATTTGTTGCATATATTTTCAATGTTTTTACATATATCTTTACATGCTGGACAGTCCTCTTTAATCCTGCAATCTAATTCCAATTTTTTGCATCTTTCCTTCAACTCAACATATTTCCCTAGTACTTGCGCTGCCAAGTCAAACGCTGTCGCTTCTAGCTCCGTTACAAGTACATCTTTAGTTCCTCTTCGTATTATCCTTAAATGTACTGTGCTATTTTGACGTTTGTTTGGTGCTGCGTTTTCCACATCTTTTTGGTTTTTTGTATTGTTCTTTACTAAACCATCTTCTGTCTTTTTAAGAGACAAAACAAGATTAGATTTCTCTATTGTATCTTCTGCCTGTTTCTTAAGTTTATTAAATACGTCTAAATCGTCTTTTAAATTTTTTTTTGCTTGTCTGAGTTCTTCTGGTAATACTTTGCATCGTTCCTTAATTTCTTTTACTAACCTAATACAAACCTCTTTTCTAACAGCCTCATTTTTCTTTTGAAGATTATTGTCTGTGTCATTTTTACACAAATCTTTGATTCCTTTATTATTTAACTTTTCCAATATTGTACAATATCTTCCCAGTGCTAAATTACATTTGTTTTCATCATCCAGATTTCCCTGTAGCTCCACCTCAAGAGCATCTTCCAAAGTTTTTCTTTCATAAAATGGCTTGCAATATTTTTCGAGTTTTGTGCAAAAAGTATCTCCTTCCTTGAGATAAGGACAGTTGGGCCCAAATCTATCACAATATGAATGCCAAAAAGGACAAAATGCTGTCAATGACGCTATACTTGGATTATCCTCTTTAAAAGTATCTTCGATTTTTAAAGTTTCTATATTTTTTTTGAATACTTTGCATTGATTTTGTACATCATCTACCATTAATTTACACGTGCTCTCTTGAAAAATGCATACGAGAAAGAAACGATCGTTGTTCTTTCTAGACCACTCATGACATTTTTCTCTTAAATATTTCGCACAATCTTCTCGAGTTTTCAATGTATCTTTATGTTCATTTAATAAAAATTCTTTTGCTTTTCTTAGATTTTCTAGTCGATGACATTGCTGTTTCAGTGTATTGCATGGCCATCTAATTTCTTTTGAATCTTTTTCTAAATCTTGACACTTTTTCTTCAGCTCTTTACAATCTTTTTTTGCTGGAAAATCTCGCTTTTCATTTAAATACTGTCGTAAAAAGACTGCTCTCATCCGAAGATCATATGTAAGTTTTCGAACTGCCATTGTTGGTTGAATGCATAAAACGAATAATTCGTCATTTGGAAAAATATCTTTATTTTTTTCCTTTAATTTCCCGCACACCTTTGTCAATTCTTGTTGAACCGTTTTAAGCCATGTTTCATTTGAACCATGCAACATTCCTTGCATTCTTTCTTGTAATGCCTCATATGCTAATGCATCAAGTCCTTTTTTATAACACGTTGCCTTTACATTCATACAGGCTTCTTTGCCATCTTGACATCTTTTTTGAAAATAAAAACAATATGTTTCTAATTTTGCACAATCTTCCTTACTAAAGAATGTTGGCAACCCTTCCCATCCAATAATTTCATTACTTCCTTTTGTTGGATCAAAAAGACGATTATTTATAAGCTTTAACGTGAAAATATCACATGTTTTTTTGATATCTTCTTCCAATTTCTCGCATTTTTCTGTTCCAATTGCATTAGTACTGCCTTTATCATCACAAAGATCACTTAAAGCTTCATGCTCTTTAGGATTTTTGCACTTTTTGCCAAGAACTTCAGTGCATTTTTTCTTGATTTCTTTATCATCTTCAATCAACAACGCCAATAGAGCAGTTGCATCTCTTACATGTTGTTTTCCAATAAAAACTCCATCTTCTTCTGCTTTCCTATGAAGCTCTTTTAGCCCTATTTGCTCTGCTATTGTAGGCTTGGGTTCAGTTGGGTCAAAACCAGATACTGGAGGTATGTAAATAACGTGTTTTTTTTCACATTCTTTTTCCAAGTCTCCACACTTTGGTAAGTGTTCATTACAATCTCTTCTGTAAAAATAGCATCGTTCAAGCAATGATAAACATTTTCCTCGTAATTCACTCTCCTTTTCAAGTGCTTTTTCAACATCCCGTTTAAGAACATCACATTTTTCTTGCTTTTTTGATACAAATTTGTCACATATCACTTGTTGATCAAGACAAAGCTTCGTTAACTCATCACTTTCTTGACTCAACTCTATGCAAACCTCTTTGAGCCTTTCTTCACATGTAGTTTTATTAGTTAAACTTCCCCGAACTGCTCTTAAAAGAGCATCTTCTGCCACTTTGTCACGTTTCTTCTGATAACATAGATTCCTTAGTTTGTTGCAATCTTTTGCAAGATCACTAGAACATGCTCCCTCTAAAAATAGGCATTGCTTTTCATTCTTACAATCGTCATCCGTTAAATCTGAGATTCCTTTTCCAGCTGCTGTTTGAAGTTTTGTTTTAAATGTAGTGCATTTTTCCTGAACTTTGTCCTTTAATTCGTCGCATTTTCCTTTTGCTTTTCCATTTTCACAAAAGGTTTTGAGTTTTTCATATACCTTTTCTGCTTCTAGTTTGGCATTTTTCAGTTCTTCACAGTATTTATCCAACTTTTTTTTACATTCTTCTTTATTTTTAGAATCTTCTTTTGTAATCAAAGCCAAAAGATGCACTTCCTCCTCATCTGTTCCTGATGCACTTTGTGCCTGCCGCTTAACCGCCCGCGCCACCGCCCGCGCCAAAATCTAGAGGATATTAATGTGAGAGAAAACGTGCTTGTTGGCTGTGTGGGCAGATTTTTAAAGCTGTTTCTATTTTATATTGTCTTCATTGAGATCTTAAATATTGAAAGTTTTAAAGGCAGTTTTTTGAAAAAAAAGAGTAATTCAGTGCCATTTCTGTATTAATGACGATGTTTAAAGTGTCTTTTCAATTAATAATATGAGTATAATTTGGAAATACTTAAAAATTG